ACAGTTTAAAAGTTCTTTCCTTAAATCGATTTACAGCAACCTGTAGTGTCGATCTCATTCACACTTGTCACCTTTTTTGTTTGTTCCACTCCCAGTGAACACAACACCAGACATATTTGAAACAAAAGAATCTGCAAACACGATGATGATCAAAGCCAAATGCAACGCCTCATTTTGGTGACAAACTTTGTTGACAACATTAATTTTACTTTACTTTCATTCAACATTAGATTTAGATTGGGATATAATGTCATCTAGTCATTTTGTAACATGAGTATCAAGTTTGAGAAGTTTATTGCAGATAGGAAAATGAAATTTTAACAGAATTTGATAAGATATTTCCATGCAGGATGTCCCGTTGTCCTGGGAGCAATAAAAATAGCATCTGAGGCACAATGATACAGTGTCAAATCCTTACAAATGAAATTATTACAATTAATGCATTACAGTTATGGAATATATATAATATTAATTGTTTAGTGTTTAAAAATGTGAAGTGGCACCGGCACGAGCACTACGCTATGTCAGACGGACGCGTACTACTGGATGTGTTCCTATAGTTTGTTTGACCTTCGCTCTCACTCTCTCTTCAGGATCTCTGGATGAAGGTGTTCCTGTAGCTTAAATGTAAATAATTTGTTTGAGCTTGAATATTTAAATAGTATGTTTGATCCCCTCCAAAGTTTGTGGATGTAACTTTCTGTCAGCCACCAGAAACTTAGGTTAGAACTGATGCATTTATTGATCAGTTATAAATAAACAAGTAACTCAACCAATGAATGACTAAAATAATAATGAAGACTGATTGTGGTTTAAATCTTTTATTCAGATGTCAGTGCAGGAAAACAATTAGCAGAACTTCAGTTGAGTCAATGAAGCGAGTTATTAAACTATAATTATTATGTAGAAGGAGAAAAATAACTTCAAAACGGTTTAATGTTGAAAGTAGAATCTGGAACAGTTGCAGGACACTGAGGATAAAGTTAATTTCAACACCTGCATGCAAATATAACGTGCAAGCTCATTTGAAAAAGAAACTAGTGTTGAGCCTTCATTTGTAAAACATTTACATAACCACACGGTTTGTACAAC